ATTGGTCTATGTATCTGTTGTTGTACCAGTACCAGGCTGTTTTGACTACTGTGGCGGTATAATAGGTTCTAAAATCAGGTAGTGTGAGGCCTCCACTTTGTTCTTCTTCTTGAGTAATGCTTTACTTATCCGGGGCCGCTTTGCTTTCTGTATGAAGTTGGTGATTTGTTTCTCCATCTCATTAAACAATGCCATTGGAATTTGGATCAGGATTGCATTGTATCTGTAGATTGCTTTGGGTAGAATTGACATTTTCACAGTGTTGAGTCTTGCTATCCATGAGCAAGGTATATTTTTACACTTATGGAGGTCTCTTGATTTCTTGCAGTAGTGTCTTGTAGTTTTCATTGTATATGTCTTTTATGTCTCTGGTTAGATTTATTCCTATGTATTTTATCTTCTTGGGGGCTATTGTAAATGGTATTGATTTGATAATTTCCTCTACGAAGTTCTCTTTGTTGGTGTAGAGGAGTTCAACTGATTTTTGTATGTTTATCTTGCATCCTGATACTTTGCCGAAATATTCTATTAGTTCCAGTAGTTTTCTTGTAGATTGTTTGGGGTTTTCTGTGTATAGGATCATACCATCTGCAAATAAAGATTCTTTTATTTCTTCCTTACCAATTTGGATGCCATTTCTTTCTTTTTCTAGCCTAATTGCTCTGGCTAGGACCTCCAGCACAATATTGAATAAGAGTAGTGATAAAGGGCATCCTAGTCGGATTCCCATTATAAAGGGGAATGCTTTCAAAGTCTCTCCATTTAGGATGATGTTGGCTGTCGGCTTTGTATAAATACCCTTAATTATGTTGAGGAATTTCCCTTCTATTCCTATTTTACTGAGAGTTTTTATCATGAATAGGTGTTGGACTTTGTCAGATGCCTTTTCTGCATCAATTGATAAGATGATGTTGTTCTTCTCTTTTGTTTTATTTATGTGATGGATTACATTGATTGTTTTTCTAATGTTGAACCATCCCTGCATACCTCGTATGAATCCCACTTGATCATGGTGAATTATTTTTTTGATATTTTGTTGAATTCTGTTGGCTAGAATTTT